ATCTATGAGCACATATTTTCATTTTATGTCATATATATCAATTGTGAGTTAGATACCGGTTCATGTGCATTACATATTGGGGGACCGGGTTGTGTACTAGATATTGGATCAACATACTTTACATCTTAACATTTGCATCTGTACAATTCACAACTGCACTATTGTGCCACTCAAATGCAGTATTTGGCGTTGTGTGCTAGATACCGGTTATTGTGCATGATGTATTTGTTGCGACTCTCTATTTTCATTTCTTGGACATATATTCGTATTGTGCATTAGGTATTGATTCTTGTGTGTTATATATTAGTTTAAGTTGTGTGAAATCCTTATGTGTGAAAAATTAATTAGGTTTTAATTTTGTGTGTCAAATATTGTTCTTTGTGCATTGGATATTGAAATTCCACATTTATGTATTGGAAACTCATGGTTTATAGTAAATTCAAATTAATTAATTTTGAGCTATATACACATTTTAGCTAAAAGTGCACGGACACTACATAACAATTGAGTGTATAATATTGTAAACTAATAACTAAAAAGTGCATTATGGATGTATACATAAATGCATTGATATTGGCTATCTTGGAAACATATGTCGTAAAATGCTTCTTTATTCAATAATCGACTCCGGTGATTTATCAAATGCACTCTTACTCCAAATATCATGCACGTTATAATATTTTAATATTTATGTGTATGCACTTATAATGGATATATGATGCACCTTGTATTTTAACATTTATGTGTATGCACTTATAATGGATATATGATGCCCCTTAGAATAAACTTTCTAAACTTTCTTGCACTTTTGTGCATTCTGCTATGCACTGTACCATTAATATTTCATACTTTAAATTTTAGTTTCTACTCATGTATATGAATAAAAAAAATGTGTACTTTTATATTGCACATAGCTTCTACAACTATGCACCATAGTCACTTTAGGTACAGATTTGGTGTGCATAATTAAATTTGTAAGAAGCTAAACTTTAGTGGACACAAGTTCAAATTGTAGGTGAACTTGCATCATGTAAAAGTATAAAATATAGCGGTAATGCAAATATTATATATAAATTGGTGATACTTATTAATATAAGACCTCTAAAAGCATAATAGAAATATTAATGATATATTCCCTTATTTGCAAAATTATTATTTTTTGGACAAAATTCAAATATTAAAAGTGCATAGTTAAATTGGTTGAAAGCATATAGATAAATAATATGGCATTAATAAACAAATAATAAATCAAAATAAACGCATAAATATGTTGAAAATATGACTGTAACTAATTAAACTTCTAATGCGTTAAAATGTGAATTAAGTAAAATAATAATATACAAAGTGAAAGTAATGTAATGCATATGAAAGAGAGCAAAAATTTGAAAAAGGAAAGAAAATTATACGTAGCTGCTTGTATAGATTAGGATGTAATAAATGCAATAAAGGAGACATTAAAATATCTTATTTACCCTTTAGAGCATCCGCAATGCATGACCGTCTAGTGCAGATTTTATATGCCACCTCATAAAACTAGACATTGTGTATCTTTTATTCTCTCCAATGGGTGTAGTCTTTGCTGAGTTGGCAAAAAAATAACTGCACACCGTGAAGGAGGCTTTTCAAGTGTAGAATGTGTGATGAACTTGCTGACTCAACAAATTTAAACAAAATACGGTGTACCAAAACAAATAAATAGCCAAAATTTCGGCGGAAATCACTCGCCCACCTACATCCTAAAATCAAGTTTGAACACGTACGCACATATCCTTTCATAGTGCCGCAATAATTAAAATAAAAAATTCCAAGTGGACATTTGAACTGTACAGACGTACTACATGCAATGGAAGCATTTTAGATGTTTCAATGTAACGTCACTTCACTATGTAAAATTTAGATAGAAAGGCCTTTTGTTTAATTGACATTTGGCACACTTTATTAGCACTAGAAGCTCCAGCATTGTGGATGCTCTTAGAAAGAAAAACGGCAATCAAAAATAAAATTTGATCCAAAGGCTATAGATCATTCTCATTTCTCTCCTAAGATGTCTTTCTCATTTGAACCTTAATATATATATTATCCTACGGCTTGTGAATTTTCTTGCAAAAAACTGCAAAGAATAATATTGCAAGACACAGGGAACAGTTCATGTGAGAAAGGTGTTTTAGGAGAGAAAAAAGAATAATATTTCACCATCGATCAATTCTATCCTACGGCTTGTGTTGGAATGAAATTACAACATCCATCCGTTATTTGCGGCTACGTGCTAGAGTTTTGAAAGGCAATGCTTCAAGCTTCATTTCAATAATTATGTAGGGGCTCATTAGTAATATGTTATATGGGAATGATTGACATGTATGTTAAAGAATTTCTATGTCATGGATATGGTTAGTTTCCTTATCCTGTAATATTTTATTATTAAATTATTTTCCATAAAAAGTTCCTTAGTTTAATTGATCTCACCTACGATAGCCAAAAACATATTTAGGATAACCGACACTATTGAGAAGTTAACTTAATTATGCTTACTAGAAGTTTTGAAAATGCACTTCACTTAATCAGTAAATGCAATATTATTTAAATAACTATGCACTTTATTTATGATGTAATTATTCATTTTGTGTTAGGGGCGTCCCTTAATAAATATGATTGTATATAGTGAATTGGTTATAGCAGAACAAAAAATACGTTTTATGCACTTCTGTTTGAAATATTATGCATCTTTTATTTAAATAGCTATGCACTTCAGTTATTCACTAAATGCAATATTATTTAAATAGCTATGCAATTTTACATATTTGCACTATAACATCATGCTAGGTACACATTTAGATAACTTACCCTATAATTAATCAACTATCCACTTTTAAGATACAATTATTGCACATCCACATTTAAATCCGTACGAGCTTAACTTTTAAGGAGCATCATGCACCTTGTAAATATCATGCACTATAGTGCATTGTTATATTGATTATTGTGCACCGTCATATTTAGTATGATTCTAATATAGATTTGAAGTGCATTAGAAATTAGAAATTATGCACAACACAATTTTTATAGTGCACCAAAAGACATAAAAGACATCTTCTTCTTCTAATTTTGTGTGGTTAAGAGGAAATTCAAAAATGTGAAAACATATTAAAGTGCATGCATAACTTGTTTCTGATCGTCAAAGAAAGAAAGAAAAAAGAAATAAGAATGCAAGAGGTTTTTATGAAAAAGATGAAGAATTTTCTAGTAGAGTTTTTAAAAGAAAGAAGATGAATAAGGGTGCTGCATCAATCCACGAAATAATATGCTAACGGAAACTTTGGGATTGAAGATATTGAAAGGATAAGTGCTAATTAATGAATTAAGCAAATCTCTGATTTGCCCTCAATGTAAAGAAAAACGAAAGAATGAACAAAGTCAAATCCAAGGGTTGTAATTCATTCTTATTTCTCTCCTAAGATGGTTTTCTCATTTGAACCTAAACATATATAGGGAAGAGTTCAACTAAAAAGACCTCTTCCTGTGCAAAGTGCGAAGATATGCACTTTTTCATGTTTCACATTCACTTTTTCGTGTTTCTGCTGCACTTTTTCGCGGTGGCAAAAAAGTGTGGTTTATTTACGAAATTGCCACCGCGATTTTGGTCGAATTTCATGCATTTTTGGCTCATTTTGAGCCATTAGATGTAGAAATGAATGCACAAGATTCATTCTCACTTTGCATGTGAAGAACTCTTTGTATTTGAACCATCCCCTATATATATTTGGAAAAAAGAGACATTTATTAAAATTCTCAATGAAAAGTTACAATCGCTAATGAAAGAAGAAATCTAAAGAACAATGAAAATTTAAGGAGAACAAAGGTAATGAATGCAAAATCTAATGAGGGTAACAATTCGCTGCGAGCACTCGGAGGAGAAATTGTCTTCAGCACCCCCAAAGTAAATAGCAACTCATCAAATACACCCAAACCCTTATTCTCTAATTCCAAATAACCTCACACAAATCACAAATCTTTTGGAATATCTCGTTGCCCGATTAAACTTTGTAACCATAAAGCTCAGTCCAACAAACTCTTCATTTTCTCTTGAATATGAGCACTTCTTCTAAGTTGAGATCTTGTCTTCCAGTTAGGATCACTAAGGCGATTGAGAAGTTCTCTGTCAGAATCATCACCCGAAGAATCTGAAGCACCACCACATTCAAAATGAGACTCACACTGGAGTATAACATTATCTTGATAAGGGAAGAAAGCTTGAAGAGGAGTTTCCCCATTGACGGTCCCAATAGCATAATCAACGTTGTATTTCTCTAAAACATCTTTCTCGTCTTGATTGCTATGGCTCCCACTTGAACATCCTCATTGAGCAAAGGAATACCCCTATTGTCTTTGTCATTTTCAAGAGGAGAAAGATAACCCATATTGAGCAAGTCTTCCTGGAAAATCATAGATGAGACATACCAAAGCTCTCCGAAATAGAATCTTCATATGATGAACTGGAACAAAAAACCCTGAAATCCTCCAAACAAGATGTTAATGGCTCTTTATTCGCCTCTTTCAAAATAACTCGTTGGCTAAGTAAAGAAGAACAAAAAAGGTTAAAGCCGTTTCCTTTCCAACCGAGCGACGACAATCTGTGCACCATCGCGGAGGAGATGACCAATCCTTCAACGATGACGTCCTCTCTCTTGAATTTTAATTTTAATTTGGCAAGTTACATCTTTGTAAATACGTTTTACATTTTAATAGATTAAAGTTATACTATCGTATTTCCTAAGTTACATTTGACCTGTTTCCAAGTTATATTTGCAGTTTACATTTCAACGAGTTACATTTGAATTAATGTAATTTACATTTTGATTAACCTGAAATTACATATTTGTTCACTCGATATACATTTCATTTAACTTTGGGAGCATGCTCATGCTACGCCGCTCCCACAATATAACAACTGTCTCAGCCCTATTCCCACTTTTAATTTGGTAATTCCTCATTTAAATTAGGCATAATAATTAACTAATTAAGAGTCCAAAATTGATTTGGACCTTACACACCCCTCTTTCCAAGAAAGAGTATTGGTCTATTCTCACATTTCACAGTGGGATTGCAAATTACAGGTAGAAACTTAAAAAGAACCCGATACACATACTACACGATGTGTATTCGCTCAGGTTGTTTATTCATATTATGTTATGGTCCTCTGTTGCACACATTAATTGAAGCTTTAAGAAGTATGTCCTTCAGGAGAAGAATTGTCGTTTCATTGATCGTCCCACTTAGCTGCTTCATCTTGTTGACGTTTTCTGAATCTAGAACCGCCCCAGATGAAGGTGAATCTGATCTCCCCGTCCTTGATTTGTGAACTTTTTAAGACCCGGTATTTGCTTACAAGTATAGCAAATAGTTCAAAGGTGACAATTTTCATGTTTTCCTTCCCCTTTCCATTTCCCTTGAGATTTATCAGGAACCCGAACAAGGAATTTGAGAGTTTTATGGATTTTTAATGCTTGGTCATAGTGGGGAATAGTTCATTTTTTACTATGAATTTGTGAGTTTTATGTATTGGTCAAAGTTGGTCAAGGTTTTGATCCCTTATACTCTTCCTCAGTTGGTAGGATACTTTTACTATAACTGTTCTGTTTCTTACTATCATACATCTGGTTTATTTGGCTAATCACAACTTCAGAACTTTTGATATTATCATGTTATTCTCCCCCCAAGAATAATATCTAACAGGTAAAGATAGCTGTTATATGTATGCCTCAGGGCTCAGGGGCGGAGACAGGGAAGGGATAGAGGGGGCGTCTCCCCCCAAGAAAAAAATTCTAATGTATATATGTGTATAGATATTTTTAATCTATGAAAAATATATTGATGTTTTAAGCTTTGGCCCCCGCAATGTAAATTTTTTAAACCGGCTCCCTTAACAATATATTTTGGCTTGGCCACTGGTCTGCCTCTATCTTTAGAATTTCCATAGTGATCAGTTCCCATGTCCTGGCTGTAGGGACTACCACACTAGGGACATTACACAATTTTAGCTAGGTTTTCTAAGGGTCTGTTTGGATGGAAGGTTTTGTAAGGAAATCGTTGGAGCGCTTAGTCCATATCTTGACAAGTGTGTGTGTATGTGTGCGTGGAATTGAGATTTTATGAGAAGAATGAAAGAAACAAGACATGTAACCATATAATATTTCTATGAACTTTTATTCGGTTTTATATACATTTTTTTAAGCATGATACACACTGTCTTCAAAAACAGTCCCATCCAAACAAAACGTACGGGTCTATTTTGATTGAGGGTAACATTTTGGACGGTTTTTGTATATATTGATAAATAGAATGTTTCTAAAAACGAATGTTTATTTGGTTAGTAATAAAAATGATTGTTTTATTACTAATTATGTTATTTCTTTATTTTGTTTTAAAAAAATCTCACATGTATAAGTAGCCTTCCAAAATCTCCTATGACTGTCCTCCCAACATGGAGAGAATGTAGTCCTACGTTACACCTTTTTTGTGTTCTACCTCCATGTTGGTTTTAAATTCCAATTGTGGGTCCCACCAATGTACTTACATAAAGGGTGCACCCTCTGCATGTGCAGGGGTCATGTGAGTACTGAGTACCTTGTTTGGGATTTCGAAGAACAATCACTTTCATGAGAAGTAAACAATGAGAATTTCTCCACACTTAGTCCACTTCTTAAGAATTGCCCATCATTAATCATATGGCAATGTAGCAATTGTCGAATAAGATCTTACGTGTAAATAAGTAGAGTTTATCTTCAAATGTAGACTTGTTCAGCAACTTTCCACACGTACAGCCTCTTTATATGATGTCTTTTTTCACTTGTCAGTGGATGCATTACGACAAATTGCCACTACAATGGGTGCAAAAAACTGGACGTTCGATCTTGATCCTTGTGAAAGTACAATAGTCGGGGTGGTAACACCACAGCCAAATTGGTCTGATAATAGTGTTGACTGCAACTGCACAATTGGAAATGATTCATTATGCCATATTCAGAAACTGTAATGCTTCCCTATCCCGTATATACTATATACTCATATTCAGAATATGGTTAAATCTTGTTTTGGTAACTAAAAGTGGCTTATCTACCATTCTACCTAATTCTGCTTATCGGCAGAATAAGTAGCTTCTGACTTATTATTTTGGCTCTAATAGATTTTGCAGTTTTACCAAACTTTGTTTCATTCATAAATTTCAGCAGATTCATAATACTCCTCGCCTTACATGCTCTATGTGCCTGATGCCCTGATTAAGGAGCCTAGCGCCTAGGAAAGAAATAGAGCATTAATTGGGGTCAGGTAGGGGAAGTCAGACCTTTGTGGAATTAGGTTGGCCTAAGCGGGAAAAATAAATAAACCGCCTAAAACATGCTAGCGACTAGACAGGGATTTTACAGCATACTCCTAAGTCATGCAGCATACTCAAATGCTATTATTCTATAATTCCTTTATAATCATCTTAACACAAAAAGAAAGTTGTGAAGAGTCAATTTTTCCATGTAGCATCTAGTTTTTTATTTTCTATAAATTCCTAGCAAATATGTGTAGCATTCTATGAATCTGAAATGAGCATAGAGTAAGGTTGTGTTTGGATCCTGCGAAGTGCTAGGGAAAGGAAAAAAAATGCTAGAGATAGATATTTGGTGTGTTTGGTAACTTTGGTTTTACCGTGGAAAATACAAAAGAAAATAACATATGATTATTTTTTATTTTTTAATATATTTTTAATATCTCAGTCTTTATTTAATAGAAATAGATATTTGTGTTTAAAGAAATGCAAACAATAAATTTATTAGGCTCAAATATATTTTGTATTACCTCATGTTTTTTCCCTTCCATATTTCTCCGATATTTTGTATTACATCTGACCCCCCTTACCCCACCATAGGTGGGAGCCTTTGCGGCACTAGGGTAAATGAAAATGAAAATGAAAATGATAATGAAAATGATATTTCTCTGATATTTTTTTCTAGCATTTTTCAAATAGACCCTAAAGTTGAATTGATCCACATTTTTGACAAAATGTAGCTATATTTTCTGGTCAGAATTTGACTATTACTGATGAAAAAAGATTAACAAATCTATTATCAAGAGTTTTTTTCCCCTCTCATTTACAAATTCCAGGATTGACAATGATTTTTACCCATGCAGTGCAATAAAGGGTTTCAGTCTTCATGGAGTTCTCCCTCATGAATTGGTAAAACTTCCCTACATTCAACAAGTGTAAGAAAGAGCCTTTTTCATATGCATCTACACTACTTTTTAAATTGATGTAGACTCAATTTTTTCGTAAATTTTCTTACTTCAGAGATTTTGCGTACAATTGTCTCACCGGTTCAATACCAGTAGAATGGGAATCATTAACATTGAAGTCCATGTGAGCTTCATCGTCTTTGGTTAAACAATTTTTTTTTATGCTGCGTAGAAAAATACTAACTCCAATTTCTTTTCCAGCTCTGTTCTTGTAAACCGGTTGTCAGGAGAAATACCAAAATTTTTAGGAAATATTACCACCCTCACATACTTGTAAGTATTTTTTTTATAATGAAGGTATTCAGTTTACATTTCCAGATATCCTGTTATCAATTTTTATGGTATGTGCATGAATGGTTTACCGAGATGTTCACAAATGGTGTACCGAGAAATACCAAAAGTTTTAGCTTATGTTTAAGTTTTTTTTTTGTTTTTGTTTTAGGCTTTGCTTTTATTTGAAGTTCTATCTTCATATGTGCAGGTATCTTAGTTTATTTGAAATAGGGAAAAGGGGCAAATAAGTCCACGTACTAACCAAAAAAGGTCAAATAAGTCCTTATATAGGAGGCTCTTTCCGGCCATCGCCATTTGGGGCAGTTCCCGGTGGAATTTTTTGATGAATTTTTTTGAGAATCTCATTCATTATGTCTAGTTTACTCATACCAAATTTCAGCTAACAACTCAATTGGGAAGGCATTCAAATAAATTCTTGAAGATAACTGCGTTTTTAACTGCACATTTATCTTCAAGAATTCATTTGAATGCCTTCCCGATTGAAGTTTTAGCTGAAATTTGGTATGAGTAAACTAGACTTAATGAATAATATGCTCAAAAAATTGCATCAAATATTTCCACCGGGAACCGCCCCAAATGACGACGGCCGGACATAGCCTCCTATATAAGGGCTTATTTGACCTTTTTTGGTTAGTACGTGGGCTTATTTGCCCCTTTTCTCTTTGAAATATGATGGGCACAAATAAATAAAAAGAACTTGAACAAATAAACAACAATAACAACATCCAAGCCTTAGTCCCAAAAGATATTGGGGTTGGCTAACATGAATCGATACATGATATCATCACCAAAAGGAAAAGAAAGGACATAAAGATAAAAAAGATAAGCTATTATAAAAAGATAATATAAAAAGATATGAATATACATAAAAATCAATATATATATATATATATATATATAAAAGAGGAACTTTTTAAGAGCATACAAAGCGCCACATAATCCTGCCATGACATTATATATAACAATTATTTACTTATTTTTATACCTTTTGTTTTAATTAGATTCTATTTTTGATTGCATATTGATATGGAAACAAAAATCCTTATAAATCCACCTTAATTAATTTGGTAATCTTCAAATAAGTAAAATAATTTTTGGTTATCAAAGTGAAATTCTAATAACGTTTATTGATATGGAAACTAATTTATATTAGTTTAGTACACCGAATTAAATAGAAACAAATATGCAAATTAGTTTACTTATTAATTTGACACCTATTAATAAATTAAAAAGCTTCAAATAAGTAAATGATTAAAAATGAAATTAAAAATTATAACCAACATAAAGTATATATATTTTCACAAGTAAATATGTTTAGCTTAGCCAAATAAGTAAATTTTGTTGGTTGTTTCTTTATTTTACACCTAAAATTCAAATATGCCTTCACTTTTGAAATAGATTCCTAATCCAAATTAGAAAATCTTTATAGGTTTACGAATTCCTACTTTTATTTTAATAGAATGTTTTTAATTGGATTGATTTCAGTTCTAGATTAAATCAGATCAGATCAAACTTTAATAATTATAACAATAAGTCACATAAAAAACAGACATTTAATAGACCATATTAATTCATACCAAATCAAACCCGAAATTTTAATTCAAATAAAAACGTTCTTATTAATGAGTAAACTGTAAGATCTAACAATTAAGAAATATAGAATTTTTTATTATTGGGTTCATAACAATTATGTTTACTTGAGATGCTTATGTAGAAGACCAATTTAACTTTTTTTTTTTCATATATTTTGTTCTTTGTTTCACAAATGGAATATATTTCACATATATTTTTCATGATTCAGAAGATTCCACCTATTTAACCAGAATTCAATCAATTTCAGCAAAATAAGTTAATTCTATTTACTTTAGTATTATCAAACAGACTCTATATTAGACTAAGTTTATTTTTCTTTTAAATCAAATTAGCTAAATTACATACTGCCCGTGCATCGCACGGGCTTGAAAGCTAGTGATAAAATAAAAAGGATAAAAATAATGCTTATATATATAAGGATAAAAAACAAGGAAAAGAGATGAGGGAAAAATATGATACGAGATCACTCCTCCACACGAATACCCGCCCTCCACTTAGCTCTCTCCAAAGTCATGCCCTCATCCAACCCCAGAAGAAGCATATCACTTCGAACTCCCCTAACCCACGTCTGTTTGGGTCTTACTCTCACTCTCTTCTCTGCCTCTTCTCCACACATCTCAACTCGTTTGACAGGTGCATCACTCGGTCTTCTACGCACATGACCAAACCACCGTAGGCACGACTCCCGCATCTTGTCTTCAATAGGTGCTACTCCCACCCTTTGTCTGATTGTCTCATTCCTCACGCGATCCTTCCTAGTATGCCCACACATCCAACGCAGAATGTGACATTGTTTCACCGCCCAACACTCTACGCCATACAGTAATGCAAACCTAATTGCCGTCCTATGAAATTTACCCTTCAGTCTAGTCGACATACCTCGATTGCATAGAAATCCTGACGCACTCTTCCATTTCATCCACCTTGTTCTGATTCTATGGGATACATCTTCATCTAACTCGCCGTCCTTCTGAATTATGGAGCCCAAGTAACGGAACATATCGCTGACTGATATCTCCTTACCATCCAGAGTAATTCCGCTATTACCATTGCTTCTACCTCCACCAAACTTGCACTCCATGTACTCTGTCTTGCTCCGACTTAGTTTGGAACCCTTATTCTCCAATGTTTGTCGCCATACTTCCAATTTTGCTTTAAGACCTGATTGCGTCTCATCAATCAATACAATATCGTCGGCAAACATCATGCACCACGGTATATCGTCTTGAATTGACTTCGTAAGTTCATCCATGACTATGGCAAATAAGAAAGGGCTCAGAGCCGATCCTTGGTGCACTCCGATAGTAATAGGGAACTCTTCAGTCCTTCCTACACTAGTACGGACACTTGTAGTACAATCCTCATACATATCCATGATGATGCTGATATACTTGCGTGATATGCCTTTCCTAGTTAAGGCCCACCAAAGAACTTCTCGAGGTACCCTATCATATGTCTTTTCTAAGTCAATGAACACCAAATGCAGATCCTTATGAGTGTCTCTATACTTCTCCATAAGTTGCCGAAGAAGGTGAATGGCCTCAGTTGTTGAGCAACCAGACATAAAACCGAATTGATTCTCTGAAATCTTCACAATTTTTCGAAGTCTTTGCTCAATCACTCGCTCCCAAAGTTTCATGGTGTGACTCATAAGCTTAATTCCTCGATATAAAATAATTTATTGAGTTTGATTGGATAATTTATTTTCTCTCAACTTTTCCTTCCGCTTATTACTCCACTTTTTCTCTCCCTACTATATTCTGGGTTCTAAATGGATTGTTACATAATATTTTCCTCGATCTTTGAACTTTGTGCACGCTGATTTTCTCTTTTCTAGAGAGGTAATAATTTTATGTAGCACTTTTTTGTGTGGGAACTATATGCTTAAATTTCTTTAGAGAGAGAAGCTGTATCAAACATAAAATCCTTTCCTTTATAGAAAAGTGAAGATAACTTGGGACGGACCGAAGAAGACTTAGGGAGTGTTTGCAAAAAATTAAAAAAAGTGCTTTTCAGCTTTTGACTTAAAAAAACTGAAATGAGTGTTTTCAAGTGTCAGCTTTTACTTAAATTAAACACTTAAAAGATAAAAGTTGGAAGCAGGTGGAGAGGTGCTTTAAACTTCTTATCACTTTTTCTATGACCCAAAAAACACTTATTTTCCCAAATACTATTAGCTTTTACATTTTCAAAAACACTTGTTATCAAACACTATCAACTTTTAGTTTTAAGCACTTTCTCCAAAATCTTTTTAAAAAATCACTTTTTTGAAAGTAGAAGCAATTGCAAACACTCCCTTATGTTACTATGCTATACGTAAAACAACTTTTTCCATGGGGACGTTCTTTCCTCCATTCCCTCCTCATTCCTTACGCGGTTATGTTTGATTGTTGGAAAATGATAGGGAAAGGGAAAACTATGCCAAGGACATTTTCTCTCTCTAATATTTGGTTTTACTTTTGGTTCTTTGATGATGCAAAGGAAATGAACAACGACAACATCCAAGCCTTACTCCCATAAGATTTTGGGGTTTTGTTGTTTTCGTCAACTTTGGCATTTTGTTGTTTCTCCCAAACTTCTTTAGGCCTCGATCGGTATGCCATCTCGACCCACTGCTTTCTTTCGCCCCAACTTTCTTAGAGCTTTTTTAACTTTTTTCGTTTGGATCCTTCTCGTTGAACAAGGTATCAAAGTATGACCTCCACCTCTCTTTAATTTCCCCATCTTCCGTTACTAGCCTTCGATCGGCATCCTTCACACACTTCACTCTTCTGATATCTTGAGTCCTATGATCACGAAGAAGAGCAAGTCTCTAAAGGAAATGAAGTATGATTTATTTAAAACATCTAGTTGCATTCTTTGTCTTTTTATAGTTGACATGAATAAATGAACTGAGAACTAACAAATATCTAAAATAAACTTACTGAGTTTTAGCTTATCTAAATTAAATGTTCCTCGGTTTCCTCCACGTTTCTTTTTCTAATTTTCCTCAATAACTTCCTATATGCTTTCCCTAGTATTTTCTGAATCTCAAATTCATCAATTTTCAGAGGAAAAACAGTTTCCAATTTTCTTGCTTCTTGTAATTCCAGGAATCTTGAAGGAAACCGATTTTCAGGAATGATTCCTTCCGAACTCGGGAAACTTATAAGCCTGCAAAATCTGTTAGATCTTTTCTTCTTCCTTTGTGATTGCACTTTGTGTCTATGCACTGAAGGAATAACATCCACCTTAATAATCCACTAGTACTCCATATTTGAATTTCAGGATATTATCCTCCAACCTTTTGACGGGAAAGTTACCAGAAACGTTTTCTGGGCTTACAAACTTAACAGATTTGTAAGCGTATTTATGAATTTGTGTATTATGGTTTAGTTTTCTTCTCTGAAATTTTGACTTTGTATTCTTTACAATGCAGTAGAATAAATGACAACAGCTTGAGCGGGCCTATTCCAGATTATGTACAGAACTGGCGACAACTTGCAAAATTGTATGTATCCACGCCATTACTTATATCTAAGTTCTGTGAGCAACATATGTTTTTTTTGTTTAATTTTAGGTAACTAACATTTAGTCTGGGTAAATAATTAAGAGAGTTACATGCGACTGGACTTGAGGGGCCGGTTCCAGGAAACGTATCTGTTCTAAACAAATTAACTGACCTGTAAGTATGATTCCATATTAGAAATTGAAATTTTCAACTCATTACACTATGTTATGGTTTCTGCTATGTTTAAGTAGCATTTTTATTTGTCTAAACTATGTTTTTTCGTCCATGCAAATGTGTCCCTATTTTTTTTATATTCATCATTTCATCCCTATTTATCTTGTTTTCTTTTTAATCCCTCTCCATCAACCTCCGTTAAAAATAAATGACATGACTTATAGAACTCTAGTATGAATTTCCTAGATTTTTTATAATGCTTAATATTTAATATAAAAAGAGTTAGAGTGGCATAAACTGAAAATTGGAAGGGTGAGATTTTTTAGCTCTACCTCCCCCCTAGTTGACCATGAGTTACAAAAAGTTGAAATGTTTCCCATTCAATTTTTCATTGGAGGTTGGCTGAGAGGAACTAAAACAGAAAACAATGTAAATGATATACTACGTATATGAATAACCAGAATGAAAGTTTTTCATGGACCTAAAACATAAAATGCTATATTTGCAAGGACGAAAGAGATATTATAGCTATTTGTTTTTAATAACAATTTTCGTGGTGCATTTTATTGTGAAGGAGAATAAGTGATATAAATGGACCTTCTCAGGGATTTCCTCTACTTAATGATATGGGTGGCCTAATCATACTGTAAGTTGAGTGACCCTACTGTACATGAAATTGGATTTTCATTAAAAACACCTAGCACCTCATAATATGGGCTCTGATTGGTTCTAGTGTGTTGAGGAATTGCAACATTTCTGGGGAAGTTCCTGCCTATATTTGGAACTCGAGAACACTGCAAACATTGTGAGTGAAAAGTGAATGGTGTTATCATTCACTTTGTGAGACTTCTTTACTGAATATTGTTGTTAAACCATCCCACATCAAACAAATATGAAAAATGCAAACCAACATATAAAACACTCTGATAATCCTCCTATAATCTATTATGAAGTAATATATAACTAAAGTATAAAGTTTAGTTGTTTGTATGCAGAATGTGCCAGTAGTATTCATTAAAGAAAAGAAAAATAATATACTTTTCATTTTGTACAGGGATCTCAGTTTTAATAAGCTAGTTGGAGAAATTCCAAACAGTATTAGCGTAAGAAGTATGCTAAAATTCATGTAAGTTGCTATAATTTTATGGAATTCTGATCAAGGATTTTCACAGGCATCATATTTGTTGCGGCAAGTGGCCTTGTCGACACGCATAAGACACTAACTGAATAACAATTCTCTCTATAGATTTTTGACTGGGAACTCTCTCAGCGGATATGTGACTGAGTCAATTTTGAGGGACGGAATAAATCTGTATGCTCACTAGCTACCCTGGCATGAACATATTTAAGATTTACTATGTTTGGCATGTTAGTTTGTTACAATTAAGTTATATTTTAGCAAAGTTCGTGGATTATCATGTCATCTGATGTCATGTACCTTGTGCAGTGATCTTTCCTACAACAATCTGACTCGGCAAGGTCCTGATCAGCCAGCCTGCCAACAGAACATGTTTGCATATTCTTTATCATTAATTACTATTACGGAGTATTTGTTTGCGGGTGGATGGAAATTGTGTCCTGAATTCATGAAATAAATGGTTTTTTTTTTGTAATTTTCCTCTCAATTAGGAATCTATACGTAAACTTGTACAAGAGCTCTTCAACAGGAAGTTCCATGTAAGAGGCCATCATTTTTCTTGCAAGTACTAAGCTTCTGATAAGTTAGTTTTAGTGGAAATCCTTATAGAAAGGAAGTTTACAAATTAAGTGGGGTGGAGGCGGTGGTAGTTTGCTTTCCATTTGAAAGCACAACTGAGGCAATTAACATAGTGCCTTACTTGTCACAGACAGAGAGTTCTTCCATGTATGAATGGTTTCAGCTGTCCTAGATGTGAGTTTCTACCCTTCAACCTATTCTCTATATTAATTAATCTAATATAGACATTGGATTTAATAGTTAAGGAAATGAAGTTTATCTTGAATGGAAGACTCATTGAGTATTTTAACTTCCTAAAAGAATTTGTATAATATAATACATATAATATTTAATGTGATGCCTGACTTATGTGTCTCCAATTCCGCACATTATGCCTTTATATGAATGTTTGGAAGGGGGAAAAAGTGATAGGGAAAAGAACAAAAGAACCAAGAAAAATAGTTTCTTATGAGAAATACCAAGGAAACTCAAATTTGATTTTAACTTTTAGTAGTATTTTTTTACATATGCTTCTACTCCCTTTCCCATCATTTCCAATGGAGCCAAATACTCCCTATTTTTTTTAGCTTGGGAATATGATTGAATAAAGCAAAATGGCTCACTAAACTGTCTGCGCTTCTTTGGAAGGGGCAAAAGTGATAGGAAAAAGAACCAAGAAAAATAGTTTCTTAGGAGAAATACTAAGGAAACTCAAATTTAATTAGAACTTTTATTTTCTTTACATATGCTTCGACTCCCTTTTCCATCATTTCCAATGGAGCCAAAGATTCATTATTTTTTGTCTCGCAATATGATGGAATAAAGCACAATGACTCACTAAACCGTCTGTGCCTTTTTTATAAATTAGGGCTACGTACATCTGACCCCCTTGTTCCACCGTAGGTGGAAGCCTTTGCGGCACTGAGGTAATCATACTTGTCATGGCGTCGCCCAGTCGGTGACTAGGCGTCCTGACGCTGGGGAGTTCTCACCGTCTTCACTCGCCTTGCCAGAATAAGAATAGTCGCGATAGGCATTCTACAGGCGTCACCTTGGTGCGATTTTGCGACAAGTCGTCACCTTTTTTGCCAGTCAACAACCGTCGGCAGCCAAAAAAAAAAAAATAGATTTAGGCTTTTAATTGAAAACAAAGGCCAAAGGAATCTGATAATCTTACGGGCTATTTGTTTCCACCTTCAAACTCAAGTCATAGAGACTAGCCAGACAAGTCGGAGGATTCAAACGAACAGCAGCAACTCCAGGAAGCAGGAGAGCTTGCGCGTCTCACCCTCCCTCAGTCCCTCGCGTAAGCATATTTGCGCTGAGGAGACGTCCAGTACGCTCTATATTTTCTGGTCTAGTGGAGTAATATTTTAATTAATTAAGTTGTATATTTATATAAATATGTATATACAGAGCATTTTGCAAACATGGTATGCGTAATTATGCCCACATATACTGTGATGATACTGAGGTGTTGAATTGCTTTTCAGTACATTATTAATTATTACTCCATAATTATTAATTTTTTATATATGTTTTAAAATAATAAACTGTTAAACTATTAATAAAAGCAAAAACTATTATATATAATGACATATACAAATTACAAATATATTATATACTTTACTGAGTTTACGTAGTTTAACTTTTTGTAAAGTATATAAATATATGACATTTTCATTTTCATTTACCCCAGTGCCTCAAAGGCTCCCACCTACGGTGGGGTAAGGGGGTAATAGAAATCGTACAGAGAGAGAGAAGAAGCTTATTATTATTATTACTTAATTGTTATGGAGCAGCATTACAATATATATATATAGAATCAGTTAGGTCAGACTACTAACTAACTCTAACCGACTCTAACAAACACGAATTAAGTACAATAGACTATTCTAGAATGTATATCTAACATTCCCCCCTTGAAGATGAAGGTGATTGATCAGCAACACTGAGTTTTGTCCTTAGATCAAGAAAATTGGAGCTGGTGAGTGGTTTTGTTAGGATGTCAGCAACTTGATAGGGAGAAGGAATGTGATAGATTTGAAGCTGCTTCAGATGGACCTTTTCTCTGACAAAGAAGAGATCAAGTTCCATATGCTTGATCCTAGAGTGTAAGATAGGGTTGTGAGCAAGCTGAACACTGCTGAGGTTATCACAATAGACTTTAGGAACAGAAAAAGGGACTTGAAGTTCTTGTAGAAGGAATTGAATCCATAATAACTCTGCAGTGGTATCAGCTAGGCTTCTATATTCAGCTTCAGCTGAAGATCTTGCTACTCTGTCCTGCTTTCTTGACCACCATGAAACAATGTTAGAACCCAAAAATATGCATGAGCCAGATGTGGATTTCCTGTCATTAGGGTCAGATGCCCAGTCTGCATCACAATAGGCTGAGATTGGAAGAGGTATGGAGGATAGAGGTAGAGGTTTGATAATGAGACCATGATTGGTGGTACCAGATAGATACCTGAGAATGTGTTTAACTGCAAGCCAGTGTTCTTGCACTGGTGCTGCCATAAATTGACTAACCTTGTTGACTGCAAAACATATGTCAGGTCTAGTAAGAGTGGCATATTGCAGAATTCCTACAACTGATCTGTAGTAAGAAGGATTTGGGAGATGGTTACCGCCCTCTTTAGTGGGTTTTGAAGTGCTGACCATAGGTGTTTTTACTGCTTTGGAATCCAGCATACCAATTTGGTTAAGTAAATCCTTGATATATTTGGCTTGGGAGAGATGTAGGCTGCCATCAGGTAGTTTATGTGTTTCTATTCCAGAAAGAAGTCAAGGTCTCCCAAGTGCTTCAAAGAGAAAGAGGAGTCAAGAGTTTTAATAATCTGTTTGAAGCCAGCTTCATACAGAACTGAAGTTAATTTGAGAAACCAAGCCCGTGGGGCTTGTTTAAGCCCATACAAGGATTTATGCAACTTGCAGACAAGAGAAGTGTCTTGCACTTGAAAACCTGGAGGCTGCACCATGTAAACTTCTTCATCAATTTCACCATTTAAGAAAGCATTATTAACATCAAGTTGCTGAATAGACCATTTATTAGATACAACAAGAGTATGAAGAAATCTTATTGTCACAGGCTTGACAACCGGAGAAATTGTTTCTCCAAAGTCAGTACCAAATTTTTGATGAAAACCCTTAGCCACCAGTCTGGCCTTGTACTTGTTCAGAGAACCATCAACATATCAACATTTTCTTTAATTCTGAAAACCCATTTGCAGCCAATTGCTTGTTTGTCTGGAGAAAGAGGTACAAGAGACCATGTATTGTTGGAGATCAATGCATTATACTCACACTTCATAGCCTCAAACCAGTGAGGAGAAGCCATGGCTTGTTTTACTGAGTTAGGCTCAGTATGAACCAACAGTAAGGTTGGATTAAGTCTTGGTTTTACTATCCCAAATTTGGCTCTAGTCCTCATAGGATGGTTGTTGGTGACAGGATCAAGAGAGATTGGAGAAGAAGAAGATGTGATCTGAGTGTTAGATTGGATAGCAGAAGTGGAGGGATTTGAGGAATCTGATGCTGAAGAGGAATGTTGACTTTGGTTGTTTGAACCAGGTTGAGTTTCTGAAGAAGATGACTGATTTGATTGATCTGTAGAGGATGATTCAGTTGTTTTAGATGGAAATCAGATGGATATAGGAACAGAAATAGGCAGTGGGAATTCAGGTGATGTAGGTGGTGAGGAGAGAAAGAGGGTGAGGTAAGGAAATTTGGACTCATTAAAAATAACATCCCGAGAGAGATATTTTTCCTGAAGGAGATAGGCATTTGTACCCTATGTGAGTAGAAGAATATCCAAGGAAGATACACTCTTCAGAGTGAAACCCAAGTTTGTGCTTGTTATATGGCCTGATGAAAGGATAACAAGAGCAACCAAAAACTTTGAGAAAAGAATAGTCAGGATGAGAGCCATACAGTTTGAAGTAAGGGCTGACATTGGAAATAGATTTGGATGGAGTTCTGTTAATGAGATGGACTGCAGTAGCAAAAGCTGCATCCCAGAATTTAAGAGGAAGGCAGAATGTGAGAGAAGAGATAGACCTTTTTCAACAATATTTCTATGCTTTCTTTCCACAACACCATTTTGATAATGTGTGTGTGGACAAATGACCCTATGAGTGATTCCTTTTTTAGACAACAATTGATTAAAGGATCTGAATTCACCTCCCCAGTCATATTGAAGGGACTTGATGGAGACAGAAAATTGATTAAGGACATAGTTATAGAAATTGGTGAAGCAGAGAGAGCATCAGATTTTCTTTTTAAGAAATACACCCAAGTGAATTTGGTAGATGCATCAATAAAGGCTATGTAATAAGAATAGCCATCAAAGGATAAAATAGGAGTTGGTCCCCACAAATCAGTAAAAACAAGTTCAAAAGGTTTATTGTATGGTGTTATGGAAGGGGATGAAGGCAACCTGTGTGACTTGCCTAAATAACAAGCAGAACAAAACTCAACATCATTCTTATTAACAAAAGGAACATTACATTGTTGAAGAGTACATTTGAGAGCCTCAAAATGAGGATGACCAAGTCTTAAATGCCAAAGATTACATGTTTCAGAGACATTACATGGCTTAGCATTATTACAAGTAGATAGAAATGTAGTAGAAGATGTAGAGTTAAGACTGGATGGAGGGAAAGAAGAGTGTGTTCTGCTTTGTGGAGTAGCTTGAACTGGAACTGAGTGAAACCTGTACAAACCATCATTTCCAAGGACACCATATAAAAGAATCTGTCTAGAAACCTGAGATTTAACAAAACACTCATAAGGATAGAATTCAAAAAAGGCATTGTTGTCCTTAGCAAACTGACTGACACTGATTAGATTCTTAGTTATAGAGGGAACATGCAAAATATTGTTAAGAGAAAGAGATAAAGAGGACTGATAGGGTGAGGGAAAAGTAGTAGAACCAATGTGCTTTATATCCAAACCTTGACCATTGCCCATAAAGAGCTTATCAGTAGTAACAAGTGGCTCACTGTGTTGCAGGTTTAAAGGATCTGGAGTTACATGATGAGTGGCTCCAGAATCAGGAAACCATGTTTGATGCTGTGGAGCAGGTCCCAAAATAGAAGGGGTAGCACAAGCCCAGGCTGCAGTAGGGGCCGTGGTAGGGGTAGTATTGTATTGTTGTGGATGAGGTGCAGTATAAGGTGAATTGTATGGTTGTTGTTCCCAGTTTGGGAATCGTGGAGTGGAGGTTGAAGTATTGAACTGAGGTGCAGGAAATCTTGGTTGATAGGGGATTGATGAAGGAATAGGATTGGGAGAGGATTGAGAGTTTGGATAGGAATTATATGGAGTGTTTGAAATATTATAGGAAGGATTGAACCTGTGATAACAGATTAGAGCGTGATGACCAGATTTGCCACAGACTTGGCATATGATTGAGCTGCGACCACCATACCTGCCACCACTACCTTGTCCAGGTCCTCCACGACCTCTGCCTCTGTAGGAATCAGTGGTGGGAGGTGAATTGAACTGTGCAACTTGTACAGAAGGAGTTTCTGAGGAGTTTTCAGGAGTTGGAGTATGATTTGGGAGTGATGGCTCAACACGCGCAACATTTGCAGAAAACATATTTGATTGTGAGGATTCACGAAGCTTCTTCAGTCTCATTTCCTTAGCAGCCAAAAGAGATTCAACTTCAGATAAGGTGACAGGATCCGAAGGACTACGTGAAGAAATTGAAGAGGCTAGAGATTCATATTCTTCCGGTAGGCCTTCAAGTATGACATTAATGTGCTCTTTCGCTGAAATAGGTTCTCCAATTGATAACAAATTGTCAGCAATGGTCTGGATGCGAAGAAGATACTCAGAAACAGATCGATCTCCTTTCGCAGTGTTATACAACTCGGATTTGAGTTGTCTGGCTTTGGCAAGGATTTGCGACTTGAAATAACTGTTGATCTCACTCCACAGTTGATGCGAGTATCTACAGTGAATCACTCGAGCATGAAATGACTCTGAAAGCGACGCAAGCACCCACGAGAACAACATCTGGTCTTGTTGCTCCCAGATAGTATACTCCGCATTGACATTTTCACTTGCTTCATCGTCATTAGAGTTGAATTTCTTCGGAATTTGAGGTTTCACGATGAATCGAAGGAGTTTATGCGCTCGAACAACAGCTTCCACGTGATGCTTCCAGAAGATAAAATTATTTGCATCTAGTTTGATCGGTAGTGGATGTGCGAAGGTAACAGGAGAATTCGAATTGCCAGAATTGGCAGTAGAATGGGAGGAATCATCTGAGATCACCATGGATTCGAGCTACAGCTCTGATACCATAATAGAAATCGTACAGAGAGAGAAGAAGCTTATTCTTATTACTTAATTAATCTGGAGCAGCATTACAAGATATATATAGAATCAGTTAGGTCAGACTACTAACTAACTCTAACCGACTCTAACAAACACAGATTAAGTACAATAAACTATTCTAGAATGTATATCTAACAGGGGGGTCTGATGTACGCAGTCTTACCCCTGTACTAAAGCACAGAGAGACGATTTTCGGATGACCCATAGTGAAAATCGCGTCTAAAAATGCATGGACTGACGGCTGCTCCATAACAAAGAAGCGCAGACAGTTTAGTGAGTCATTTTGCTTTATTCCATCATAATCTCAAGCCAAAAAATAACGAATCTTTGGCTCCATTGCAAATGATGGAAAATATATGACAAATGAAAATAATTAAATGCGTACTTTACTTTTTGTAATATATTAGTAATATATAAAGAAATACAATTTAATTAGTCCTGTATTATATATAAATATATATATAATAGTTATATATATAATAAAATATAATAGTTTTTATGCCTTATTGCCTAGGCGATATGGCGGCCGGGTGGCGCCGCGACTCGACTTACCGTCGTGACAAGTATGGGGGTAATGTTGTTGTATTATTCTACTACCTCTATATTGAAATGTTTGCTACATGTTCCTTTTGGGGTGTATTTTAATTTTTGATACACTTTCCCTTTTTGAAACGTTTGCTACGATAGATCTCTTTTCTCTTTTTTTCTTTCATCTTTTATCTTCTTTATTTTTTTGTGTTCTTATGTTATTTCTATCTTTTATCTTTCTTATGCTCTTTTATCTTTTTATCTTTTATTTTTTATGTTCTTATGTTATTTTTTATTTTTATATTTATCTTTCTATTATCCATTTTATTGTACCTTATCTTTTTATTTTTCTTATCATTCTTCTCTTTTTGGCCCTGATATCATGGATCTATTCATGTTAGCCGACCCCAAAATCTTTTGAGATAAGGCTTGGAGGTTGTTGTTGTTGTTTCCCTTTTTGATAAGTTTTTCTTATGTGGGAGCCTAAGGAAAACCTTTTCCCCCTTACTCCACCGTAGGTATGGAGCCTTTGCGGCACTGGGGTAATGTTGTTGTTGTTTCCCTTTTTGATAAGTTTTCTGTAAGTTTTAGGAATAAAACTTCCTTGATATTATTGAGCCATCCGACCATGGTATATATACATGTTACAGATAAAATCAAGTTGTTACAGATCCTAAAAAATAGGATCTATCTATTCTATCTATTCTGTGAGCTTATCTACTAATTAGAGAGTCCTATCTACTCTAATTCTTATCTACACAGTTCCGGATGTACAAGTAATTAAAATAACAAGAATATGTTACATTTTTCTACACTCCCCCTCAAGTTGGTAAGTATATATCATACATTCCCAACTTGCTTATAAGTAGCTCAAATATAGGTCTAAATAACCCTTTGGTGAAGATATCAGCTGTTTGATCTTTAGTGGATACAAATGGTGTGCAAATGATTCCAGCTTCAATCTTCTCTTTAATGAAATGTCTGTCCACTTCAATGTGCTTAGTTCTATCATGTAGCACAGGGTTATGAGCAATGCTTATAGCAGCTTTATTATCACAATATAACTTCATAGGCAGCTCAATCTCCATCTTTAGTTCTGTGATTACTCGTTTGATCCAGAGTAACTCACATATTCCATTAGCCATAGCTCTGAATTCTGATTCTGCACTACTTCTAGCAACCACATTTTGTTTCTTACTTTTCCAGGTTACTAGATTTCCCCATACATAGGTGCAGTATCCAGAGGTAGATCTCCTATCAGATATTGAGCCAGCATAATCTGCATCAGTAAAAGCTTCAATTTTCCTATTGTTTCCCTTTTTGAAAAACAATCCTTTCCCTGGACAGCTCTTCAGGTATCTTAGAGTCCTGTAAGTAGCATCAAGATGTTCTTGGAAAGGATGATGCATAAACTGACTTACCATGCTTACTGCAAATGCAATATCTGGTCTAGTGTGTGCCAGATATATTAATTTTCCTACCAATCTTTGATATTGGTGAATATCAACTGGATTTCCCTCCTTGATATCTCCCAATTTCTGACTTGGGTCAATTGGAGTGTCTGCTGGTTTGCAGGCACTCATTCCAGTTTCCTGTAGAAGATCTAAAACATATTTTCTTGTGAGACAACAATACCCTTCTTTGATCTAGCTATCTCCATTCCTAGGAAAAAATTTAAATTTCCTAGGTCTTTAATCTCAAATTCATGAGCAAGTTTGTCTTTCAATCTTTTAGTCTCTGTGTGATAATTTCCTGTGAGGATAATATCATCTACATAGACAATTAAGATTGCAATCTCCCCCTTACCTGAAAACTTCATGAATAAAGTATGGTCAGCTTGAGCTTGATTAAATCCTTGCTTTTTTATGAATTTTGTGAATCTGTCAAACCAGGCTCTTGGAGACTGTTTAAGTCCATATAAAGCCTTCTCTAATCTGCAAACCTTTAACCCAAACTTATTTTCAAACCCAGGTGGAGGTTCCATGTACACTTCTTCTTCAAGTTTCCCATTTAAAAAAGCATTCTTTACATCCAGTTGTTGTAATGGCCAGTCTAAATTGGCAGCAAGAGATAAAAGAATTCTTACAGTGTTCAACTTTGCAACTGGTGCAAAGGTTTCTTTGTAATCAATTCCATAGGTCTGTGTGTACCCCTTGGCAACTAGTCTTGCCTTATATCTCTCCAAACTTCCATCTGCCTTAAACTTGGGGTTGAAAATCCACCTGCAACCAACTGTAGGTTTATTTTTAGGTAACTCTACAAGCTTCCATGTCTGATTCTTTTCAAGAGCCTCCATCTCCTCCAAAACAGCTTTCTTCCACTCAGGTTTAGATAGGGCATCCTGTATGGTTGTAGGAATAGAAATAGAAGAGATACTGGAAGTAAAGGCTGCAAAGTCTGATGTCAATTTAGAATAAGAAACATAGTTTGAGATGGGGTATTTAACACATGTTCTTCTCTCTTTTCTGAGAGCAATAGGAAGGTCAAAGTTGCTAGAAGTATTACCTTTTTCACTTCCTGACATTGAGGCAGAATCATGGACAGTTGTAGGTTTTTGAACTTCCTCTATTCTTTGATTTCTAACCCTTCTCTCATAAGTTTTTTCAAAGAACTGACTTGTCTGTTGATCCTTTTCAATTGGTTCAGTTGGATTTACTTCATTATTTTTAATTCCTTGATCATTTTCAGGTGTACTGATATTTGAAAAGACATTATCATCCTGATTAATATCAAGAAAATTAAAATTTTCATGAATATTTGGCATTATAGGAACATCTTCACTTAATTTCTCCCCCTGAAGATGAGAATCAAAAAAAGGTTGTTCTTCCATAAAAATAATATCCATAGTAACAACCATTGTTTTGGTTGTAGGATCAAAACATTTATACCCTTTTTGAGTGGCAGAAACACCTAGAAAAACACATTTTTTCCCTTTAGGATCAAACTTACTTGCAGATTTATCTGGATTTTTGATAAACACTGTGCAACCAAAAATTTTTAAAGGAAGGGTGTTTACCAATCTATTTGTAGGAAAGAAGTGTTGTAGTAAACTAATAGGACTTTTAAATCCTAAAATTTTGGATGGCATGCGATTAATTAAATAAGTTGCATGTAACACTGCTTCTCCCCACAAATATTTTGGTATGTTTGTTGAAAACATGATTGCACGAGTGACTTCAAGTAAATGTCTATTTTTTCTTTCTGCAAGTCCATTTTGAGCTGGTGTATTGACACAAGAGCTTTGATGAATAATGCCTTTTTCAGAAAAAAAGTTGTTTAAAGTTTGAGAAAAATATTCACGGCCATTATCACTTCTTACCATTTTAATTTTGGTATTGAATTGAGTTTGGACCATAGCATAAAATGTTCTAAATATTTTCTCAACTTCAGATTTTTCTTTGATTAAAAATACCCATGTGACACGAGTATGATCATCAATAATAGTTACAAACCATCTCTTTCCCTTTAAAGTTGGTATTCTAGATGGACCCCAAATATCACTATGTACCAAGGTAAAAGGGCTAGTAGGTTTATAACTGTGGGGTAAATAAGTGTTTCTGTGATGTTTTGCAAGAGCACACATATCACAATTAAACAAAGCAGCATCTTTATTTAGAAATAATTGAGGAAACATCTTTTTTAAATAATAGAAACTAGGATGTCCTAGTCTATAATGAAGTAAATACAACTCTTTATTATTTGAAAAAGAAACAGTTTGCAAATAAGCATTTCTTACACCTTTTTTATTAGATTGAGTTTCTCCATCAAAGATATAGAGTCCATCCTCCTCCTTAGCACTGCCAATCATCTTCCCCGATGCTAGGTCCTGAAAAATGCAATGAGAGGGATAAAAAATGACACAACATTGTAGATCTTTAGTTATTTTACTAACTGAAGTAAGATTGCAGGATAGATTAGGGACATGAAGGACTTTGGATAGATTCAGTGATGAAGAAATACTAATATTTCCCATCCCTGCAATGGTTGATAGAGAACCATCTGCAACCTTAACCTTTTTTATCTCCTGCACTAGGTTTATATGAAGAAAAAAGGTTTGAAATAGAAGTCATGTGATCAGTAGCCCCTGAGTCAATAATCCAGGTATTTTTAGATTTCCCAGAACAAAAAAATGATGAATAAGTACCATTTTGGGCATAAGAGCAAGAGGAAGATTCTGGTTTGGATTCTTTCTGGGAATTTTGGGTTTTCTGGGAATTAAGGAAGTTAAGAAGTTGCCCTATCTGCTCCTGAGTGAATGAAAGTTGATTGAACTTGACTTGTGGTTCTTGTGGTTTGCCATGAATTTTCCAACAAGTCTCCCTAGTGTGCCATAATTTCTTGCAATGATCACACCAGGGTTTTTTCTTGTCATTACTCCTAGCCACCATTGCTGAAGAGTCCCCAGATTCCTCATTATGTACTGGAGTGCTGTACATAACCTTCTTCCTGCTATCCTCCATCCTGATTTCAGAAAATACCTCCCTGATAGAGGGTAGAGGTTTTTTTTCCAAGTATCCTCCCCTTAATTTCATCTAGGTCCCTATTGATCCCTGCTAGAAACATATAGACCCTATCATTTTCTTCTCTTTTTTTATGTCTGGCCAGATCCTTAGCACTCTCCCACTCTTCATCACCATAGCATTGATCTAATTCTTGCCACAGAAATACCATTTCATTGTAGTATGAAATAATATCCCTATTTCCTTGTTTAGATTGCCACAGTTTGGTTTTGAGTTCAAAAATTTGAGAAGAGTTCTCAAGATCTGAATAAGTCTCCTTAATAGAATCCCATACCTCCTTTGCAGTTTTCATAAACATATGAGGTTTGGCAATTAAGGGCTCCATGGAGTTGAGAAGCCAAGCTGTTATGAGTGAATTCTCTGACCTCCATGTACTGTACCCTTCTTCTGCAGGTAGTTTTGGTTGGATTTCTCCTGTGATGTAACCCAGCTTTCCCCTCCCATCAATTGCAAGTCTGACAGATTGAGACCACTCCAGATAGTTTGTTCCATTCAATCTATGACTAGTGATTATCATAGATGAATGAATAGGAGACTGGTAATTTGTCATATAGCTAATTTGGGAGTTAGGGTTGATAGTGTGTGAGGAATCAGCCTCACTGGTTTCTACCATTGTTTAAACCGAAGCTCTGATACCATGTAAGTTTTAGGAATAAAACTTCCTTGATATTATTGAGCCATCCGGCCATGGTATATATACATGTTACAGATAAAATCAAGTTGTTACAGATCCTAAAAAATAGGATCTATCTATTCTATCTATTCTGTGAGCTTATCTACTAATTAGAGAGTCCTATCTACTCTAATTCTTATCTACACAGTTCCGGATGTACAAGTAATTAAAATAACAAGAATATGTTACATTTTTCTACATTTTCCTTTAAAAATATTCAACTACCCTTACTTTTTCTACTTTTTATCTTTTTTCCATACTTTTCACTTTCATACTTTTTCTACACTATTCATTATCCCTAATACTTTTCCCTTAAATATTTTGCCAAACCCTATTGTAGCAAACCTTTCAATCCGGAAGGAGTATTTGTTAATCTTCATTACAAGAAACATATATTGAGTCTTAACAAATAATATGTTGAACTATTTTATTCTAACCTTGTTTTCAATACAACAAAAAATCCAAGCCTTAGTCTAAAAGAGTTTGGGATCAGCTAACATGAATCAACCTATGACATTACAGCTCTAACCTTGTTTTTAATACAACAACAATAACATTACCCAGTGCCGCAAAGGCTCCCACCTAAAGCAGTCTTACCCAGATGACCCATGATGAAAACCGCGTTGAAAATTACATGGATATATGACCGCTTCATAACCAAGAAGCGCAAACAGTTCAATCATTTTCCTTTATTCAATCATTTTCCTACCAAAAATAGCGACTCCATTGAAAATGATGGAGTTCTAACCTTGTTTTTGATATTTCTTTAAATTTTGCCAGGTTCCAAAAGGAACACTACGGTCTCCTGTAATGTGGGATATCATTCTTATATGCATCTTTTTTGTTCAAAATGTTTCTGATGTATGACAGATGGTTGTTCCTTTCATGTAAATGCGGGAGGTAATTATGTAACTACCCATGCAAGAAATGAAGATATCAGTTATGAAGGGGATGCGGGAGTTGAAGGTGGTTCAGCAAAATATTTCAGTAGTAGCAACGGAAACTGGGGATTCAGTAGCACAGGCGATTTCATGGATGATTCTAATGATCAAAATACACGTTTCGTTGAGACTGTACAATTAAATGGTCTTCCTGAGTTGTACAAGAATGCTCGTGTCTCTCCTCTTTCTCTCACTTATTTCCGTTATTGCTTGGAGAACGGGAGCTACGATGTTGCCCTCCACTTCGCGGAGATCATTTTTACAAACAATGACACATATTACAATCTCGGGAGGCGTGTTTTTGACATATATATCCAGGTTATATTGTTCATTTTTTTTATCTAATGTGATGTAATTGGTAACTGGACCATAGTGCACATGAAATGATACTAAACGTCTGTTTGGATTGAAGGTTTTGGGTAGAAGGGTTTAGTGTGTGTGTAGGGTGTGGTCCCGGTGAGATTGACACTTAAGGTACAAGTCTGAGAACAATACTTTTGGTTATTTGTGGTGCACATCTATGTTCCAAGTTCTTTGTTTGGTCTGCCATAAAAAGTTAGGTTTATTTGCAGGATTTTCATCACATTTTGATCAATTTTTGATGCATTATTTGCTTTTTAGAGCCCTTAGAACTTCAACAAGATACACTCATACACCACATTCATTCACATTTCTTCCCTTGAGATGTCTTTCCTGTTTGAACCTACTTGTGTGTAGTGTTGTGTGTTTATATATACGTAGGATATATTTATATATATACACATAGACATATTAATATGGGAATTGAAAGATTAACATGATATGTGATTGTGTAGCATTTCAACCACCTTTTAATAGTTTTTCGTAACATTCTATTACCGATAGATAAACTATGCCCTCCTAAGCCTTTCTTTTGAAATTCCCCCAAAACCCTCCTTCCAAAAAGATACTAAGAGAACAGGTCCAATTGCTTAGCTAGTCCAATCCAAGACCTCATAAACTCATGTCTCTCTTGGGTGTGTTTATGCGTGAATCTTGACATTCACAACTGTACCTTTTAAATGATGTAGATTGCTTACATAAATTTCTTTACCAGGATAACTTAGTTTGGAAGAGCTTCAACATTGCAGATGAGGCTAAAGGAGCTCTAAAGCCTGTCGTCAAGCATTTTAATGTTAGTGTAACTGATAATATCTTGGAGATTAGGCTTTATTGGGCCGGAAAAGGGACCACTCGCATTCCTCTTAGAGGACATTATGGCTCTCTCATATCAGCTATTTCAGTTGATTCAAGTAAGACTCGCCAATCACATTTTTTCCCTTTATTATTAACATGTGGATATTGGTTAGGTGATTTTCTTTTATGAACAAAAGTACTAATATGTGACAAGATGAAGGAAGGGTCTGTTTGGATGTAGGGCTTGGATGGCTACGTAGTGTTTGGTTTTGCCATGTACATTCTCTAGAACAAGTATTTAAATCTAAAAGTTGGTAATGTTTGAACATAAACATGATTTTTTAAAAGTTGAAGTTGCAGTGTTTGGTAGAAAAGTACTTTTTGGTGCATTATTTGTCAATCAGGGAATCAGTAGAAAAATATCTTTGTATCTTATTGAATCTTTGTAATTATAGGAAGATTTTATTAGGCATTGAGTGCAGGGATATCTTGCATTAATTATAAGAATCCCTTGATTTGTTTCCTTGTACATATATTCCCATGTTGCCAATATAAGTGTAAATAAACTGCTGAGCAAGGCAGCTTAAGTTTTCCAGCATTCCCAGTTCTTAGTTCTTGATTTTACTTAGTTCCTGATTTTATCATTTCTGGTAAAATTAGTGACATGGTATCAGAGCCATAAGCATTTTTTTTTTCAGCAAACCCTAAAATCCAGTTGGGTTTGTTCTTGGAGTTCTTGCTCGACGTCTCAGATTTTTTGTTTTACACACAAACCCTAGGGTTTCCTCTCAGATTCTGTCATCTCAGCACTTAGTTCCAGCCATCTTCTATCTCAGATCAACACATTTCCTTCTCAGATTTATTCTGTTCTCTTGTTATCATGGATAAATTAGAAAACTTGTGTGTTCGATTTGATGGCAAGAATTATGTTACTTGGGTGTTTCAATTTGAAACCTTTCTGAAAGGAAATGATTTGTGGGCTCACGTGGATGACTCTTCCACACAGAATTCTGCCACTCAGGATGACACTTGGGAGGTGAAAGATGCTCAAATTCACAGTTGGATATTAGGGTCACTCGATCCTCATATTATTCTTAACCTACGCCCCCAGCGCACAGCTAAAGCCATGTGGGCTTATCTATGACAAGTTTATCATCATGATAATGCAGCCCATCAGTTTCAGTTGGAGTTGGATATTTCTAACTTTCAACAAGGTTCCTTAACTGTTCAGCAATACTATTCCAGTCTTTTAGAGCTTTGGACTGAATATATCGACTTATGTCTCGCTGACGTCCCTGAAACTGCTGTTGAGCCTCTTCGGGATATGTTACAAGCACGGCAGCGCAGGCAGTTCTTGATGAAACTGCGCTCCGAGTTTGAGAACACTCGCTCCTCTTTATTGAATAGAAATCCAGTTCCGTCTCTGGAAGTTTGCCTTCGGGAGCTACTTCGAGAAGAGCAGCGTCTACTTACCAGGCTACCCTGGAACAAGGTCACACTCCTGTTGCTTATGTCACTCAAGCTAAGCCTCACCCTAGAGATATGAGTGCCACACAGTGTTATTCTTGCAAGAATTACGGTCACATTGCGCAGCATTGCCCTAATAAGGTATGCAGTTATTGCAAGAAGCTCGGACATATCATCAAAGATTGCTTTATTCGTCCACCCCGCAGGAAAAATACCGCATATCAGGCTACCACAGAAGCTGTGCTCACTTCTCCAAACGTGTCAAATACTCCCGTCTCTACTTCTGCCACTTCTATTACACCTGAAATGGTACATCAGATCATAATTTCTGCATTCTCAGCATTGGGAATTCAAGGTAACTCTTTACCTAATTTTAATTGGTTTCTAGATTCAGGAGCCTCCAATCATGTGACACATTCAGTACATGGACTCAATAATATTCGCAAATATGATGGTTCTTTATCTATTGAAACCATTGTTCTAAAACTCGCTAGGCGCTAGTCGGGCGGTTGAAGGGCCCCTAGCGCCTAGGCGGCCGACTAGGCCGATTTTTTGGCCGACTAATCTGCACCCTTTTGGTTGTGTACACTAATCTGCACCCTTTTGGTTGTGTGTGTTTTGTTCATCTTCCGCCCACAGAACGTCATAAACTTTCTGCCCAGTCTGCTCGTTGTGTGTTTCTAGGATATAGCATTAGTCAAAAGGGATTCATATGTTTTGATCCGCAAGAAAACAAGTTGCGAGTCTCCAGGAATGTTATATTCTTTGAAAATCAGTATTTCTATCATACTTATTTTCCTAACAACTCATCTTCTGTCATATTACCTACGTTTGAAAGTGTCTCTAGTCCTCCTAGCTCTAGGTTCAAAGGAATAGTGTATGCTAGACGCCGTCCGTCAGACTCTTTGCCACCTCCTTCCCTGCCATCAGATCTTGTGCCAGAGCTTCCTCTTGAGGATATGAGCGCTGTGGAGATTCCTCTCTGTCGCTCTACACGACGTTCAGTACCACCAGACCGGTATGGATTTTCATCCTCTTCTCATGTTGTTGCTGCTACAGTAGCATCTGTTGTTATTCCCTCATGTTATTCACAGGCTGCCAAACATAAGTGTTGGCAAGAAGCAATGCAGGAAGAGTTGCGGGCTCTGGAAATTAATCAGACATGGGATGTTGTGTCCTGTCCTCCTAATATCAGTCCTCTTGGATGCAAGTGGGTGTATTCGGTCAAAGTTAGATCTGATGGCAGTATTGATCGTTATAAAGCACGTTTGGTGGCACTCGGTAATCATCAAGAATATGGAGTCAATTATGAGGAAACTTTTGCTCCTGTAGCAAAAATGACCACAATCCGGACTGTTCTTGCTATTACTGCCTCCCAGAGATGGTCTCTATGTCAAATGGATGTAAAAAATGCATTCCTTCACGGTGATCTCAAAGAAGATATCTTTATGCGTGCACCTCCTGGTCTTTTCTCTAATCCCACCACAAAGGTTTGTAAATTACACCGTTCTTTGTATGGACTAAAACAGTCACCTCGTGCTTGGTATGAAAAGTTTCGTGCTACACTTCAGCAGTTCTCGTTTCAGCCAAGTAAGCATGATACATCCATGTTTCTCCGACATACTTCAGACGGGATTGTAGTGCTTCTTGTCTATGTAGATGATATTGTTATCACTGGAACTGATCACTCAATTATTTCTCAGCTCAAACAACATTTGCATAGTTCTTTTCATATGAAGGATCTTGGAGGACTTTCATATTTTCTGGGGCTCGAGGTTACTGTGGGTTCAACTGGTATTTTTTTAAATCAAGCCAAGTATGCTCAGGATATCATTGATTCTGCAGGTCTTAGTGGCACTTCTCCAGTTGATACTCCTATGGAGCTAAATGTTAAAATTCGAATAGATGAAGGAGATCTTCTTCTGGACCCAACAATATATCGTAGGCTTGTGGGCAGCTTAGTATATCTTACGATTACTCATCCAGATCTCTCGTTTGCTGTTCACCAGGTCAGTCAGTTTCTTCAGAATCGCCGTCATCTCCATATGGCTGCAGTTCGACGTATTATTCATTATGTTCTAGGAACCGTTACCAAGGGACTTTATTTTCCAAATGGTGTTTCTCTTGAACAATCTGGCTATAGTGATGCTGATTGGGCTGGTTGTGTAGACACTCGTCGATCAACCACGGGATGGTGTATGTTTGTAGGACCTGCTCTCGTTTCCTGGAAAAGCAAGAAGCAGGATCGGGTTTCTAAATCATCTACGGAGTCGGAATATCGCGCTATGTCTCTTGCTTGTTCAGAGATCATATGGCTACGAGGTTTACTAGCAGAGCTTGGGTTTTCACCCACCAGGCCTACTCCATTGCATGTTGATAACACCTAGTGCTATTCACATTACTACCAATCCAGTTTATCACGAGCGCACGAAACACAATGAAGTAGACTGTCATTTTATTCGGGAAGCATTTGAATATCAAGTGATTTCCTTGCCCCATGTATCCACAAATCTTCAAGTGGCTGATATCTTCACGAAGGCTCTTCCTCGTCAGCGGCATCAATTCCTTGGAGGCAAATTGATGCTTGTTGATCAACCATCATCAATTTGAGGGGGATGTCAATCAGGGAATCAGTAGAAAAATATCTTTGTATCTTATTGAATCTTTGTAATTATAGGAAGATTTTATTAGGCATTGAGTGTAGGGATATCTTGCATTAATTGTAAGAATCCCTTGATTTGTTTCCTTGTACATATATTCTCATGTTGCCTATATAAGTGTAAATAAACTGCTGAGCAAGGCAGATCAAGTTTTCCAGCATTCCCAGTTCTTAGTTCCTCATTTTACTTAGTTCCCGATTTTATCATTTCTGGTAAAATTAGTGACATTATTTAGGTAAAAAAATGAAAAACAGTTTTAAGCACCCTTTTCCCTGCTTACAACATTTAGCTTTACAGTGCATAAAGTTAACAGAGCTTCTACCGTGGAACCGGTGCATGGTGAGCACCATGCACCCTTTGTTATTTTTTATTTCTCCTTTTCTTAAAATTGTTAATAATTTTTTTATTTTTGATCCGATTTTTATAAAATTTATATCAATTTTTTTTTATTTTTCATGATCTTTCAAATGAGACCAATATTGCCTATGTAATTCTAATTTTTTACATTCATACATTTTTTTGTAATAAATTTTTACATGCATACACTTTTTCTATAATATATATTTTTTTTATCACTTTTATATGTTTTTAGAGGTTTTTAAGATATTGAGTTTGTTTATTTTGCTTCTAGCTTGGAGTTACATTTGATAATATACGAAATTACATCATCTTATACTCCAGTTACAAGTTATTATGTGTGAGTTACATCTTGCTATACACGAGTTACATATTTTTATGCGCGAGTTACATGTAATTATGTGTGAGTTACATCTTGTTATACACGAGTTACATACTTTTATGTGCGAGTTACATGTAATTATGTGTGAGTTATATCTAATTATTTGTGATTTTTTACTTATCTTTATCTTGAATTAATTCAATTAGAACTGAATTAATTTTTTTCTTTGCCAATTTAATACAAAATTTTATTAATCCAATAAAATAAGTATATTGTATTTCATATTCATACACTATTTTTCAAATGATAAAAATGAAAGATGTAGCAGGGGTTTATTTCATGGTGTAACTCACATACATTAAGATGTAACTTACGTATATTAAGATGTAACTCGCGTACAATAAGATGTAACTCGCGCAGAAGAAGATGTAACTTCATGATATATTATCAAATGTAACTTCAAAATAATTTGTTAAAATTACATAAGCATTATTGGTCTCATTTGATAGATCATGAAAAATAAAAAAATTTGATATAAAATTTATAAAAATCGGATATCAAATAAAAAAGTTCTTACAATTTTTAACAATAAAAAAAATAAAAAAATAATGGATGCTGCGTCGTTGTGGGATCGGGTGCACCATCCTCATGCTGCGTCGATCCCAGGATATAAATTGCCTAAAGTTAAGGAGAAGCACCTATTTGACTATTTCAAAATACTACTTTTAGCTTTTTTGGCCAAAAGCACAATTTATTAAACAATGGCAAACATTTCTTTAATCTATTATCTTGATATATATGTGTTTGAGATTTCATTAAATTAGAAATGTTAATATAATATGTAAATAGTTCCATCATTTGCAATAGAGCCAAAAACTAACTATTTTTTGGCTTGGGAATACGATGGAATAAAGCAAAATGACTTGCGCTTCTTTGTTATGAAGTAGTAGTCAGTCTATGCAATTTTCGACGCGAATTTCACTATGGGTCATCTGGAAACAGTCTCTCTGTGCTTTAGTACAAGGGTAAGACTGCGTACATCCGACCCCCCTTACCCCACCGTAAGTGGGAGCCCTTGCGGCACTGGGATAATGATGATGATGATATGTATTGAAAAGCGTTTGATACTAGATTTTGGCACTAATATGCGAATGTATAACATTTCAATCCCACTACAACAACAACAACATTTCAATCGCACTATATGCAAAAATAGTGGGATGATATAATATGCGAATGTATAACATTTCAATCGCACTATATGCAAAAATAGTGGGATGATATAATATGCGAATGTATAACATTTCAATCGCACTATCATTGGCACCCTTTCAAAGCATATTGGCTTTTGATGAATATAATATGCGAATGTATAATATTTCAATCTCCTTGGTCCCCCAAATGCTTTCATCCACACATACCCTAGTATAAGAGCTCTACAGATGTAATCTTTCTCTTCTTTATATTATTATAAATAGATTTCAAAACTTGTGAAGATGAGGATGGGGATAAAAAGATAGCTATTGTTCCTTTTATTGTTGGACTGGTGGCTGGGTTCATTGTCTTGATCATTATTGGCTTGCTCTGCTGGTGGAAAGGCTCTTTGTTATACCGAAATGGGAAAAATAAAGGTAATGATTGTGATCATATAGAGCAACCTGGAGTTTCCGTTCAGAGTGTATTACTTCTTATTTCATTCATTTTCTTTTAATGTCAAAGAAAATTCATTTTACTACCTCCGTCCCAAAATTTAATTCATATTTACCTACTCTAGCATTATTTGTAAGGAGGAATGGGACTTTGCACCTAATTTTTCCATCCAGACCATTAGTATTTGCATTCTGAAGTTCGAAAAATCTCTTAGAAATTGGAATTCAACCTCCAATTAGGGAAAATAAATAGGGTGTAAATTTTAATTTTTTGGATATGGAGCATTGGTGCATCGATTAAGATGTTGACCGAGAGGTCACGACCTCACGGGTTCAAGCCTTGGGGGTGGTATCTTGTCAGAATTGACAAGGGAAGGTTTCCCCCTACACACCCTTTTGGTGGGACCCTTCCTCAAACTCTAGTCTTGTGGGGACGTCAATGTGCACCGGGCTGCCCTTTTTTATGCCAATATTAATAATTTCGAAAACAAAATGGAAACTCAAATTTTGATGAAAAACTGGGGTGCAAACTTCGATTTCCCTATTTTTAAAATAATTTGTTGCTTTTATTAAGTTTAGCCTATATGTGTCTGCGACACCTTTTTTTAACAAAATACGACTGAGTTCAAGTTTGGGTTGAGATCACTCGACTAGCCTATAATGTGCACTAGGTTCAAATTATACCCAAATTTTATACATACAAATCCGTCCCTTTCTTTTTGTAATATATGAACATGGGACTCTAACATGTTCAAGTTTAATGCACCAAACCCCCCGTGATATGTAAATTCAACACATTAGCCTTATGTGATTTAAAAAATACGTCAAACCCCCTGTATTATAATTATTCATGTGCAAAACCATTCCAAGAACATATATAGCAATTTGGATATCACTTATTTTAATATTATGATTGAATATGCAAGTAAATTTGTCAAGATCTCTAAATATCTAAATTATGTAAAAATACTAGTTTTTCCCCCATTTATTTGGCAATTAAATTTGTTCATAGAGGGGTTTTTGTGTATGAATAATTATAACATGGGGGTTTGACGCATTTTTTATATTACATGGAACTAATGCGCCGAATTTATATATCACAAAGGGGTTTGGTGCATTAAACCCAACATGTTCAAATAGGATAATGATAGGGACCTGGGTAGAACAATAAGCTTTGAAGTAGAACACTTTTGCTTTTAGGATCGTGGGATGAATAAATACCAAAAGCCAGGTGGAGCCATATAAAATATTAAAATGGGCATTAAACTGCTCTGTCCTTTTAATGATCTTGTCAATGATTTCAAGTGATATTTCTGAAGTTTGAGGAATGTATTGGGAGTGACTAAGTGAGGACTGACCCTGCTGTCCCTTGGACAGATCCAGAAGGGGTAGAGTTGCAAATGGTAGCCTATACTTTAAAACAAATTAAAGCTGCTACAAATAACTTCGATGATGCAAAGAAGCTTGGAGAAGGTGGCTTTGGTCCTGTGTACAAGGTATGATACATATTAGATGACTAGAAAAGTTGTCATTTTTTTTGATGACCTCCACTTATAGAATTGTTTCTTTGTAGGGTCAATTAGGCGATGGTACCTTAATTGCAGTGAAGCAATTATCCTCCAAATCAAAGCAGGGGAACCGTGAGTTTTTGAATGAGATTGGCATGATATCTTGCTCACAGCATCCCAATCTGGTTAAGCTTTACGGATGCTGTATTGAAGGAGATCAACTACTCGTTGTCTATGAGTACATGGATAACAATAGCCTTGCTAGTGCATTGTTCGGTAAGTCCTACACAACGGCAAATATAAGGTGGGCCAAACAGAGCCCCAGATAACCCTAGTTCTGGTCTAATTTTTTATTGTGCTTATATTTTCAACTGTTCTTGGGTTGGATGAGATATACGCGGCTTTGGAGAAAGCGAAGTGGAGGATGAATATTCGTGTGGAGGATGGACCACCTCTCTTTTCTCGGCTTTTTCTTTTATCTTTTTATCTTCTTTATCTTTCTTATGTTCTTATGTTATTTGTATCCTTTTATCCTTCTTATGCTCTTATATCTTATCTTTATCTTTATCTTTATCTTTTTTATCTTAACTCATCTTTTTTTTTTCCTTATCTTTTTTTGGCTCCGACATCATGGATCGGCTCATGTTAGCCAACCCTAAAATCTATTGGGAACAAAGCTTGGATGTTGTTGTTGTTTATATTTTGAAGTAATTACCATTGAATTAGTTCGCACTCATCCCAAGATGACTCAAGAAGTGCCTCACAGTAAAAAAAAGTTAAATACTAGATTTAAAGTTGGTGAACGTCCACTTTAGACACTCGACACACTTTCTCTTAGCCCAAATCTAGTGAAGTGGACAAATAGGCCTAATTGATCCTCATATGACTGGCACAAACCATGAGGCATAAAGAAACAAATGAACTGTAATCGTACCAGGATTTGTGATAGAATCATCCAGAAATTGCAGCAAAATCAAAGAGAAAGTAAGGAAATAGTATCAAGAACTCAAGAATCTTTATTATCGGGGAAAGCAATACACTGGCCGAAGCCCCCAAAAGAGAGAGAGAACTATCTCAATCTTCCCAGAATAGACTAAACAGTCAAAACCGTCTCCCTTATTTCTCAGCTTTATTCTATTTATAGTATTACAACTTAACTGACTTTAGTTAATAGCTACTAACATAAAACACTAACAACAAACTATTCTATTTATTTCTTCTAGTATCTATCCTTTATACTAAAAGTAATCATATCTCTATCAATACTCCCCCCTTAACATCCACCTTGCCCTCAAGGTGGGTAATATGAAGTAGCCATGATCTTCTGCTTCCTCTTCATCCTGGCGCTTCTACCTTCCCAATATCTAACTGATTTCTCAGAAAAGAGCTTCCATACTTGATTCTTCCAATTCACATATCTTACTGCAGCATATTTTATCTCTGGTGAATTTTCATTTTCTTCCTTAGTCTTCAGGCCTTCAATAGCCACAAATACTTTCGTGCTTTCCTGAGGTATAATACTTACAACAGTAGCAGAATTTGTGTTCATGTCCTGAACATCAGGATTCTCATCCACTTTAATCTGTTCATCAGAAATTTTTGAACTACAAATTGCTTCAACTCCATTTGACTTTTCTCCCATTGAATTATGATTGATTGCCATGATGCTTTTCAGTAAAACAATGCCATCCTCCGCCGTACTTGGAGTGCACTCCACATCATTCCACCAAACAACTCCCATAGAACTCCCATACTTGGAAGCCACTGCACGTTCCTCCAAAGTGTTAGGAATATTGAATAATATAGCTGTATATAGCCTACTGAATAACCGATTGTATTGTTAGGTTGTTACAGTTAGTTGTAGACTTTCTGATCAGTCTGTTGATTAGTTAGTTAGCTATAAATACCTGTACTGTTTACCTAAATCAATAAGATTCATTTTTTGCTTTTCTAATATGGTATCAGAGCTCTGACTCGTTCCTTCATGACGAACTCAAGTTTGAACTTTGTTTCTTCCCAAACTTCTGGAAATGTCACAATTCCAGTCACATTCAACCACCCTCTTCCTATCAAACTCGATTCGAATAATTTTCTCCTTTGGAAACATCACGTTCGATCTGTAATCCGTGCTCACAAACTCCTCAAGTTTATCGAGAAACCTGAAATTCCTGAGAAATTCATCGCCGGTGCGGAAGAAGGTACGAAAATTGAGAATGATGCCTATGCTACTTGTGAACAGCAGGATCAGATGCTGTTTTCATGGCTCTTATCGTCACTTTCTGAAACTCTTCATACTCGAGTAATTCATTGTCAACATTCGTATCAGCTCTGGAACGAAATTGACAAATATTTTCAGGCAAACATTGTCGCCAGGGCTAGACAACTTAAATCTGAGCTCTACTCAACTGGAAAAGGTGATTGATCTATCTCAGAATACCTCCTCCGCATTCAGAACATTGTTGACACTGATGAACATTGGTGAACCTGTATCCACGAAGGATCACATCAATGTCATTCTCGAAGGACTTCCAGAAGAGTAGGTCTCGCTTGTTTCTTCTATATCATCTCGAAGCATTCTGGACCCCGTAACTATTACTGAACTCGAGTCGCTACTTCTCGCAAAGGAATTACGTCTCAAGAAATTACGTGAATCTTCTCAGCTTACATTGTTTTCTGCCAATATTGCTCGTGCGGAAGTTCCGACTCCAAATACTGAAGCTGTTAATCCAACAATTTCAGAAAATTCTTCTGCAAATGTTGCTCAATTTCAAAATCACGCCTCAAATCCTCCCTACAGAGGACGTGGTAGAGGAGGACCCTACAGAGGACGTGGTGGTCGTTTTGGTGGTCGTATTTCAATCATCTGTCAAGTTTGTGGAAAACCTGGCCATAATGCCCTAAATTGCTATCACCGTTATAATCCAGCTTATACTGCATCCTTTTCAAACTACACTAATCCCAATCCTACATCCTCTAATCCTTGGAATCAGCAGACATCTTCTAATCATAACAACTATCTTCATCAACCAACTGCCCATCCTAATCCTACTCATTTTCCCTCACCACCAGTCAATTCACAATTTCAAAACCACTGGAATCCTCAATCATATCTCCCACCTCAATCCAGGTTTAATAACCTTGCTCCACAAAATTTCAACTGGAATCAGCAATCATCCAATCCTATACCAACTGCAGCTGTAGCAACTGCTCATTCTTCCATACTTGGACCAGGTTTTTCACCTCAACCTCAACAATGGTACCCAGATTCTGGAGCAACACATCATGTCACTTCAGACCCTCTAAACCTTCAGCACAGTGAGCCGTTTGCAACAACTGAGAAGCTCTTTATGGGTAATGGCCAAGGTTTGGACATAAAGTCTATTGGTCACTCTTCCTTTCCTTCACCTCTTCACTCTTCTCAATATCTAGCACTCAACAATATTCTGCATGTTCCATCTATTAACAAAAATCTTTTGAGTGTTAGTCAGTTTGCAAAAGACAACAATGTATTCTTTGAATTCTATCCTCATGAGTGCTTTGTAAAATCACAGGTTTCTAAACAGGTTCTTTTACATGGCACTCTTGGTGAAGATGGTCTTTACAAGTTCACAAAGTTTCCAGCCCTTGGTCTTCAGCAGTCCACTCTTCCTGTTTCAAAATTTACTAATATGTCTTCCTATAGTTCTACTTGTCATAAACCTCAATCTTGTACTTCTTTAGTTGATTGTAATCTGTGGCATTTGAGGCTTGGCCATCCTCACTTTGAAGCACTCAAATCTGTACTCAAACATTGTAATGTTACATCTATAAATAAAAATAATGTTGAGTTCTGTTCTGCATGTTGTTTAGGCAAAGCACACAGATTACCATCTCACAATTCCACCACTGAATATCACTCACTTTTTGAATTAGTTTACACTGATCTTTGGGGACCAGCCCCTGTTTTATCCTTTGATGGCTACTCCTATTATATTTCTTTCATTGATGCCTATACATAGTATACTTGGATCTACTTTCTTAAAAAGAAGTCTGATGCAATCACAGCCTTTCAAAATTTCTATCAATATGTACTCGATCAATTTTCTGTGTCAATAAAATCTATTCAGTCAGATTGGGGAGGAGAATTCAGGTCATTTCATCAGTTTCTAACACAAAAAGGCATCACACATAGACTGATTTGTCCACACACACACCACCAAAATGGTGTAGTTGAAAGGAAACATCGTACTATTGTTGAAAAATGTCTCTCTCCTTGCTCATTCTTCATTACCATTCAAATTTTGGGATGCTGCCTTTGCTACTGCAGTCCATCTTATTAACAGAACTCCATCTACATCCATCCACAATTTCAGTCCTTACTACAAACTCTTTGGATCCCTCCCAGATTATTTCTTCCTTAAAGTCTTTGGTTGCTCATGTTATCCTTTTATAAGGCCTTATAATAAACACAAATTGGACTTTCATTCTGAAGAGTGTCTTTCTAGGCTACTCTCCACAACATAAAGGCTACAAGTGCCTCTCACCTTCTGGCAAAGTGTACATTTCAAAAGATGTTATCTTCTATGAGTCAAAATTTCCATACTCAGCTCTCTTTTCCACTCCCAATTCACAGCCTGTTCCCAATTCTTCTTCTATTACTGCTCCTCTCACAGTTCTTTCCCCACACCTATCATACACACCACACTCCTCTTCTACCCAGTCATCATCATCTGTTTCTCTATTCACTGACTCTCAGAATTCTTCTCCCTCTTCATCAGGTCATATATCACCTCATCTTCATCAACCCATAAACAATAATCTCTCCTCTTCTCCCACTGATTCTGTTTCCTCAACATCTTCTTCATCTATCCCTCCTATTACTAACACTCATCCCATGACTACAAGAGCCAAATCAGGAATTGTGAAACCAAGACTAAATCCAACCTTGCTATTAACTCATACTGAGCCTAAATCAGTTAAGCAAGCACTTGCTTCTCCTGACTGGTTTGCAGCTATGAAGTCAGAATATGATGCACTCATCAAGAACAACACATGGTCACTAGTCCCTTTACCACCAGACAAACAGGCAGTTGGTTGCAAATGGGTATTCAGAATCAAGGAGAATTCAGATGGTTCCTTAAACAAGTTTAAAGCCAGACTTGTTGCTAAAGGATTTCACCAGAGATTTGGGTTTAACTTTGGAGAAACCTTTTCCCCAGTTGTTAAGCCAGTAACTATCAGAATTCTTCTCACTCTTGCTGTATCATGCAATTGGTCTATTCAACAGCTTGATATCA